GTGTGATTAATTGTTACATGGCAGATATATAACCTAATTAAATGGATTAGTGAAACTTTGATCTAATTTGTGTTGATTGGTTTCTGAAATTGAGAGATTCAAAAAAAAAAATTTACAATTAAGAAAAAAAAAATATATATATATATTTTTAATTTGTAACAATTAAAGAAAAACATAAGTGTTTTGAAAAGTTGTGTTTATGAATAAAAATGAAACACATTATTTTCCGATAAAAGTGGAATTGGGCTGAAGTAAGCCCATATAGGCTGGGACAAATCCCACCTATGCTCATTAATCATCATTCACTAAAAGTTATTATTATTCAATGTAGTACAATATGAAAATCATTGATATATATCCGTAATATGAAAATGATAACCAAATATATATCTGTTCAATTGTATATCTGTAGATTTTGAATTCGATCACTTACGAAACCCAATTTGAATGCCAAGATTTACAAAAGCGTCTGTGAAGAAGAAGAAGACAACGAGCTCTGTTTCTTTCTCAAATAAGACATTATGATCCAATAGACAAATCCTGCGATCAAGAAGCTGAAAAACAATGCATTGTCGTAAACAACGACGAACCCATTTGAGATCTCCGACAAAGCTCCGATCTTGTGTAGAAAACCAGGCACGACAGGGATGATTCCGGCGATCAAAGCCACGATGGCGACGACATTATATCCCTTATAGAAATAATATTTCCCTGAAGGACTCAAAGAGTACAAATCTCCAATGTTCAGTTTCATCTTCTTGATCAGGTAATAATCGGCTAGAATTATCCCGCCGATCGGACCTAGAAGCGCCGAGTATCCGATAAGCCATGTGTAGACAAAGCTCTCGCTCGATTTGAGCAGTCTCCATGGCTGACAAGCGATTCCAAGAACCGCGGTTAATAAGGCACCTCGTCCGAATGTGAAAACCTTAGGGTTTAGATTCACAAGCGCGTTTGCTGGCGCGACAACGTTTGCTGCTATGTTTGTTGTGATTGTAGCGAGGGAGATTCCGAAGATAGCTAGTAGAGTTGTGGCTAGGCCTCCAATTTGACCAAGAAGCTGAATCGGATTAGAGATGACTCTTCCAAAGATGATACTTGTGGAGGACGTAACAGCTAAACCGACGAACGTGAATAAACCCATGAAAACAGGAAGACCAGCTTGACCGATGATTTGATCGGTCTGGGATTTCGCAAACCGGGAGAAATCGGGGATGTTTAAAGCTAGAGTTGCCCAGAAGCTTATGTTTGCGGTTAGAGACGGGAAGAAGAGAGTCCAGAACTGAGCAGAGGTTAGCTTGGATGACAAGGAAAGCATGTGACCAAACCCACCAGCTTTGAGATAGGACCAGACAAGGAGACAAGAAGTGAGAATGATCAGAATCGGAGCTGAGTACTTCTCGAGCTTTCTGATTCCGTCCATTCCTCTCCAGACAATACAAAGCTGAGCCAACCAAAAGACCATGAAACAAGAGAACTCAAGCGGAGAAGTACCTAGCCAAGGCAATGTATGAGACAAAGCCGAGTTCTTGATGTGACTTGGTAAGAGCAAGAAGATAGCTTCTCCTCCGATCCATGTCTCGATACCATACCATCCGCAACCTACTAATGCTCTGAGCAGAGTTGGAATGTGAGCTCCGCGGATGCCAAACGATGATCTAGCCAGAACAGGGAAGGAGATACCGTACATGGTACCAGGCTGGGCGGTGAGAACCAGCGGCACGAGCAGTATTAGATTGGCAGCGACCACTGTGGCTATCCCTTGCCACCAAGCCATGCCAAGGTCAACTAAGCTTCCAGCTAAGTAGTAAGTAGGCACACCAACTACTAGACCGATCCATAAACTAGACATATCCAACCAGGAAAACGTTCTTTGGCTTGGTTTCGTCGGTTTCAAGTCATCATTCGTGAGGGTCGAATCGAATTGGGACTCGTCGTACCCTACTTCATCGAATTCTGAGCCTGTCATCGCCGAGAATCTTGGGCGGATGAGACCGGATCGTCTAGAACCCAAGTCGTCGCAGGACCGGGTCGGACAGTGTTTGAGACTTTTATGTCCTGGATCAAAAGGTGACCCAGAAGAAGTGTAGAATCTCTTGCGGCTTGAAGCAGTGATTGAGACATGGTGATGATCGAGTTTAGCATTTGTGTGGGATCTCAAGGAAGAAAGTGAATGATGATTGTGTTTGTGGGGATGAAGATGGAGATGGAGGCTCAGGCTAAAGCAATTAGAGACCATTGAGTCTTCTCTCTCACACAGCAGAGAGAGAGAGAATAGGATTGTGCGATGGAGATTGTATGTTGTGTTGTGTTTGGTGTTCTGTTTAAGTCCTCTGAGAAAACATGTGGTTGGAGATGAACCATGTGTTAGTGGATGTTTTGTCGCTCTCACATCGCAATTTTCTTTTTCATTTTTAATACGTAACAACTAAAAAAGATTCTATATCATTTATTTTATTTGTATTAGTTGAAGAAGATTCTTATTTTCATGTTACATTGACTTTCATTTGCCTACTCATTCAATCGAAAATAACTCAATTAAAGAATATGATTTAGTCCCTAAGATTTCTACTAATCAATAATTTTCTTTCTAATGTTTCTTCTTAAGAAGATGTGAAGGATACAACATACATGACATATAATTCAAAACACTTGTTTTATTATTCTTTTTTAACCTAAGAACCAAGAGCCACATTGACTCGTATACTATAAGTAGTGTATACTACAAAACTCAAGAACAGAGTAGTTCATATAAGTATGACCAACCTTTGGTATCTGAAGATGTTATTCATACAAGCGATCAATCTCTTTCTCCCACTTCAATCCAAACATTTGACGGCCAAAAGGAACGATCAGGTTGTACCTAAAAACCTGCAAACGAAAGAAAGAGAACACTTCATAAGCAAATCATTATATATTCACAACATGATCTTGATTTGTGCAGTTGAAGGAGACTTGCCATGTTGTTGATTTGTTTCAATTGTGTTTTAAGTAATTCTGATCTCTCTTCCCAACCCGATTGGTCTTCCTCGAGTTTCATAGTCCATGCTTTCTTCAGTGAAACTCTCCATTCCTTTGCTTTGCTTCTTATCTCTTTGTTGAGCTCCACCCATTCAGGAGCAAACCCGTTCTTGTTAAGAATCCGATACAATGTGTCCTCTGCTGGATCAGCGTGAGGATTTGCGTGGAGGTTCAAGGGTTTGCCTTTACCGGGTAAATTCTCAAAATGACCTTCTTCCATTGAATGCCATATCCTTTGCTCGACCACGTTGATTATGTCAGTCTCTGACCTGCATCATCATCTCATGTTAGCATCTGCTACAAGCAAGTCAAAGCAATAACATGTTCCACAAGAAGAAGAATCTCATCTGGGAGATTAATAAAGAACCACAGTGCAAGAGAAAAATCAACAAGCTAAGCCTTTTCTGACAAAAAAATTGCCATTATCATCCACAGCAAAACAGCAAAGCTACTGCGTAATCATGTCAACATCCAAAAAACGAAATTCAGCATTTGGTATTTCGATTAATCTACAAAGAATTTGATAAATTCTCAACGAAACTTATGAACTATAACAAGTATCGATTCCAAATTCCAAATCAATGAGTACAGAAAATGGATTATTAGACCTTACGAAATCGCGCCGGCCACGTAGCTCCGGCGGGAGTTTCCGATCATGGACTGCGTCAATCACGGAAGAGAAACGATCTGTATTCTTCTTCTCCCGTCTCTTCGATCCCGCCGTCAAATCTTCCGGAGAAGACCACCAAGAGGACGAAGACGAATAAAAAGCCCGACCGAAATCAGAAAACTCCCGACCGTCGATCGCAGGAGAAGCGATTTCCGATCTCCGATTAACGACGGAGAGTAACGTCGGCCCTGATGTTGATGACGCGGCCAATGACCTCGCGAGACGAACTGCCATGGCCGGAGCCCAGGGAAGGTTCTGGATTTAGTGGTGGTTAATGACTTATGTAACCTCGGAAGAAGAGTGGTTAATGTTAACACACCTTGCCGTTTTTCACATCCATACGTAAAATGGATGCCGTTGTACTAACAACCAAAAGAAAACTCTTAAAAGATTAGCAATAGGCCCATAACTATTTTGGAAATGGTTTAATTTGTGTATACCATAACTATTTTGTGATTGGTATACACTATACACAAAAAGATAAAAGGTTTGCATTTGATTTGTGGTAATTTGTATATGAACTATTATATGTCCATGGTAATCCTAAGTTTTGTAAAATCATCAATATTATGGTAAAACTGTAAATACATGTGTTGTAAAGAATGTCTATGATATTGATGATGAAAATTTAATAAAGATGTTTGTATTTAGTGTGTTTGTTAATTGTGTATTTATAAAGTCAAATTGTGTTATCTTATGGATCTTCCTTTTTTTTTTTTATCAAAAGTCATATCATATGTACTTAAATACTTGATTTCTTGTCACTTACGCAAATTTTTTTTCTTCTCTACGAAGTTGAACATA